GTTCGTGATGGACACGCCGTCCATCAGCACCGTGTCCACGGCGTGGCCAACCGTGATGGCTCTGTCCACCGTGCCGCCCCGCAGTCGCAACACCACCGCATGCACCGCGGGCATCCACGCAGCAGCAGAAGCCAGCACCAACACCACAAACAGCACCGCACGCACAGCCGCAATGGCCCTGTGCCGCTCGCGGTGCCGGCTGCGCGGACACGCACCCACCGCAGACCGCATCCTCCAACCCACACAGGTATCAACAAAGCTTTCTTAGTCTATCGCTCTCGCCCAGTCGACCGTAACTCCTGCTTCGCAAATCCCTTTCCCACAAATGGCGAATCCAGTGACACAATTCCGCCAGATCGTTAACCCACTACTGCTAATCCTAATACTGCAAGTAACCCCTAATAGCTTGAAACGATATTTGCACTGGTCAAACCAAACTACCTCCGTCTGCTCGGTCGGAGAAGAAAAAGACAGAAACAACAGTCACTAAACACAGTGGCACGCAGAAGCATCCGGCCACAGAAAATCCCCACCAAAGCGCAGCCACCGACACAAAAAAGCACAGACGCAACCACGCAGTGACGCCATCGCCCTCCCACCGCCCACGCAGTCCCGCACAGCCACCATGCAGTGTGGTGGGATCCCGGCGAAAAGATGCATGACCATTGCCGCCGCTCCTGTTACCCAATGGCCACATCACAGAGCAGTCCCGATGCAGTGAAAAACACACAAAACAGCCGAGACGGACCCACGTGGCGGCGTTGCAACCGCCAGCCATCGAGCGTGTCAAAGAATAAAGTGTTGACGCGGAAGAGGAGTGGAGGATTCGCCAGTTGCCAGCAGTCAAAGCGTCGTTTCTCGCTCACGTGGGTCGGCATTGCACAACAAGCAGCGGCACCATACGCGCAGACGGCATTACACACAGAAGGGATGAAGAAGCACGGCGGCAGAACTCAGTCACAGAAAACAAGAGCCCAAATCAATTGCACAGTCCGATTGGCTCGCAGCCGTCCGGATGGTGGTCGCCGCCGCTGCCGCGCGGTGCGTGTGTCCGCAGAAAACTGCAATGATGAAGAAAGGGGAAAGAGACGCAGTGCGGTCCTCGTCCATCTAGGTTGGTTGTGGCAACAACGACGCCATCCCTCCAGATTGCCTGCGGCAGCGCCTGTCGCCGTCAGCAGCGGTCGGTGCCTTCCCTCTCCCACTGGGGCGCCACTCCACCAAAGCCGTCGCTCGTCGACTCCCCCACCGACACAACGAGGGAGCAACAGCAAGAGATGCGACACGTGCGACGAGCACGCAGCCACCGTGACCAAGAAAGGGAAGCTGCGCAGCGCAAGCAAAATGAAAATACAATAAGTACTCCATCATTTCAATAGGACGTGGAGGCGCCGCAACCCACACAAAAAACGCAAAGCCGTGCAGTGGCCGTTTCTTCTTTGGCATTGACTACTCTCAAATAACTCCCATGGCCGCACGCCAGCCACCATCGTCGAGCACATCCGCCCAATGAGTAGGGATGTGAAGAAGTGCCCCGGCCCCAGGAGAGGGCGCTGCAGTGGAGGGCGTGAAACACACAATTGTTACGCATCCTCCACGGTCAATCGCGGTGTCTCAATCATCCGTTTTTGCCAATAATCAGTAAAATAACAGGCCCGAATAATCTTCTGGGCCGCTGGCCGGATCCTAAAATTATCTATATAAACCAAACAGGATAGGGAAAAAAAGAGGATTAATGGAGAGGCATTTAATTGCCTCAATGTTTTCTTCTGATTAAATATATATATAAATTCTTTTGAGCGCTAAAGTGACCTTTTGTACTCAGCTAGGATCTAGAATGCTATTGCTTACGAAGTGGCAGTCTTTTTGGTCCTCCAGCCACAATCCCCCGCCGCGTGGTGGGAATCAAAGGGGTGTGGGTGGAATGGCAAAATAAAAATAAAATTATCTAGCCGCCACCGGTTCCCTGATGTCCTTAAAGTCGTGGCATTCCCAAAATTCATAATAAAAAAGTGTGTCGTAAAAAAATTGTATTCGTTTTATCAGGATACATAAAGTAAGTTGGCCAGCTCTCCCGCGATCATTCTCTTCACAAGCTCCTAGAAAAAATTATATGGAGAGATATAAATACAAAAATAAGCATCAATAAAAATAAAGTAACTTTTTGATACTCATACCCACACCGATATCGCTATACATTGATCGATGCTTATCTTCTTGTTTATATGGATACATCCCTTCTCCCCCTTACAAATTGGCAGATTGCTTGGTTTCTTGGTTTATTGAATTGCTACTTTATTGGCTGTATATTTATATAGATAGGTATATAGTTGTCGATATTAATATCTATTCAGCGCTGTTTATATATATCGCTACTATTCCTCGTGCCTGCTCAAACAAATAAGTAGACTCACACGCCAGCCGCCATCGCAGAGCACGTCCGCCCAATGATCGGAGATCTAAAAGAAAGCCCCGGAACCCGAAGTGGGAGCCGCAGCGGAGTAAATGCAGAATTGCCTCTTCGCACGGTTCAAACCGGCCGGTTCTCACAATGTCCGGTCGATGCCGTGGTGCGCCGTGCGGTGGCGGGTCAGTCAGGCATTGCTGTGGCACTCAAACCCGCATGCTGGACGGCGAAACTCAGCCGGTGGTGATCCCATTGGTCTGTCGTCGCGGGGCAACGTGCGCCTTCTCGGCGGCCTGACCCCTCTGCTGTCGTGAAATCGGCGACAGCGTGACGTTCACCAACGAATGTGTGTGCTTGCCATTTTAGGCATACGGTGCGCTCTTTCTTGGTGGCATTCTCCTGCGCGGAGACGGGGTTTCTGTGTGGGTTTGATGTTCTTCATGCGGAGATTCGAGCCTTGCAGCGCGTGGTTATTTAACCTCCATTTTTAGTGTCCTGGTTTTCTTTCTGTCGGGTGCTTTTGCCGGGTGTGGGTGTTCAACCCCCGGCATTGCCCGCCTGCCCGTCACATCAAGGGCGTTTACAAAGTGCTTCCCTCTTCGGTGCCGACCGTGGCTCTGTGCTGGAGCGTTCGTGTGCTCGTATGCGGGATAGTGGTCGCGCCTTCGCTTAAGCCCTCAATTCGCACTGTACATGCATCCGAACGGGGTGCATGCCGTCAGACCGCCATATCCCTGGCAACGCCTCCTATTTGTCGGGGGAACTCTTGCTTGTGGAAGTGCCGAATATAAAACACGATTCCGGCTTGCCTTTCGTGCGACGCCGCGCGGAAACTGCATGAAATTGACTTCGGCCTGGGCTGTGCGGTCTGCAGCGGAGGTGCGGTCGGTGTGCCGTCCCTCGCTCTCGTCCTCGCTCAAGTGGCGGGTGGTGGTTCCAGTGGGATTTCTGGCGGTTCCGACTCATCGGGAAAGCTGAATTCCCGCAGCGCCTGGGAGAACGCGTCATGCCCTGGGCGTCAACCATGTGCGCCACAACACCAGTGCAGCAGCCGCAGTGCCTTCCGCACACCGGGCAGTCTGCCGGGCGTCGGATCGTGGCGGGCTGGGTCCAGCGGGAGGAGAAGGCGTTTCCGTGCAAAGTTCTTTGCGTGCCTGCTGTGCGGCATCCGCGCCGCACCAACGGCATGTGCGTGGGATGGCGGGTTGCAGTGGTCGTAGCAGCCATCCGTATTGTGTGCAAAACTCCGCTGCGGAGGCGGGCCAGTGCAGCCTCTACCCCACGAGTGAGGGTGGCGTCCGTGCGCGTGGGTTCCCGGTCGCCTATTACGGTGGAGCGGCGAGCTTCTGGCTTGAGCTGTCGGGCACGAATAATACTTTAGGCCAATGCGACGATGCCGGTGATCCATGTGCCTGTCAGCTGTGTGAAGTCGGACGCCTCCTTGGCTTATGCATCACATGCTTCGTTCTCGGATACGTCGCAGTGGCCAGAGACAAGCTGCATCCGTGTGCGCTACTCAGTGCTGCTGGCGAGAAAAAAGGGTACATCCACAATGTGAGTCGCCAGGCGATGCAGAACCGTCGACGTGTGCTCGCGTGCTTCCACGATTCGACGAGAAGGCGCATAAACGCACGCTGCCGTGGAAATAGCCTCGGTGAATATTGTACTCTCCGAGCTAACGCCGCACTCCTCTGTGTCTGCTGTGGTGCATGGACTTTGCAAAGCCGGAGGGAAATTTAAAAAAAAAAAGAAGAATTCCTTGTGCAGGCATCCCTCGTACCAGCGTGGCCAATCCGCGAGAATATTCCTTGCCTGTGGAATGCGGTGTGCCAAGTAAATCAAAGGCCGCGCCGTGAAGGGATGTGCAAATTGCCGGAATTGGCCGCCACACCTCCTGCACACACAAAAACTTGCAGGCCGTAACGGGCAACAAGTCCCAATGCCGCGTCATCCAAGGCTCCCACGCTCCACGCGCACACATGAGGAATCCTGCCATGGCAGTGGTGCGCTCGAGGATAAGTGTGGAACGTGATAGTTATGGCTTTGTCCGTCACTTCCACCGCTAAAAAGACAACAATCACCCTGTGAACTCGCCACAACGAAACAAGCCGGAATTACGACAATGCATCGTGCCTCAATACATAATCCCGCTCAAAGAAGTTCCTGGAAACCCGGAGCCCTGCTGCTCCTCTGTCGCCGCCTTGCTCCTGCAAAAATTAATGCCCCCTGCATGTAAATCCGCGGTAAGGCAATGCCGCAATTCACCACTAACAATGGGCGGCTCGTTGGATCCCTCTTCCATTGCACAAAATGAGCGTTGAGTTCCTCGCACGCAACACCATGAAATTACAGTCCGATACAGCACAAAATCAGCAGTAACAAGAGCGACAACTCAATACCCTTCCACACAGTCATCGTGGAACGGGAAAAACTCCTGAAAGCTCCCGCTCAAAATGAAAACAAATCGATAGAAACAACGACCAACAACACTGTGCTTTTGACGATGGCTGGCTGTGGGGCGCAGCAAATCCGTGGCTCCGCACCCTCCGTCATCAACCAACACCGCATAATTAATAACTCCAAGTGTTACACGTCACATGCCGGCGTGATCAATTTTGCCGATCGCACTCAATGCACGGTCGAGCAGGCTCAAGACGTCTGAGCGGATGTCACCGGCCATGGGCTGCAACAACACCGCAGGTGGTCGGTACGACGACGCAACGGTGGTGCCTGAGGCGTACGACGATGACGTCGTGTCGTGGGGATTCTGCGTCCCTTCGTCGCCATGCTCGTCATCGCGCAGCAGCGCCTCCAGCACACCACGCCGCGGCTCGCGCAGCTCCTGCCAGTGGCGGTCCTCCGCGTACCACACAACAACGCTGTACACAGTGACCGCAAACAGCACAGCCGTCAGCAGCAGCACGATAGCCGCGTACGCCCTCGCTCCGCCGTCGCTCGGCACAAGATGGTTGGCCGCGCTCACCAGACACAGCACCCCAAGAAGCACAAGGCTCGCCGTCTGCATCACCGTCAGGAAGACCGAGCGCATCATGTTCGTGAAGGCAACCACGCC